GATGATGATGAGGATGAGGAGGGTGAGGATGAGGATGAGGATGAGGAGGGTGAGGATGAGGATGAGGATGAGGAGGATGAGGATGATGATGAGGATGAGGAGGGTGAGGAAGATGAGGAGGGTGAGGAAGATGAGGAGGGTGAGGAAGATGAGGAGGGTGAGGAAGATGAGGAGGGTGAGGAAGATGAGGAGGATGAGGAAGATGAGGAGGATGAGGATGATCATGAAGATGAGGATGAGGATGAGGAGGGTGATGATGAGGATGAGGATGAGGAGGGTGATGATGAGGATGAGGATGAGGATGATGAGGATGAGGATGAGGATGAGGATGAGGAGGGTGATGATGAGGATGAGGATGAGGAGGGTGATGATGAGGATGAGGATAAGGAGGATGAGGAGGGTGAGGAAGATGAGGAGGATGAGGAAGATGAGGAGGATGAGGAAGATGATGAGGATGAGGAGGGTGAGGAAGATGAGGAGGATGAGGAAGATGAGGAGGATGAGGAAGATGAGGAGGATGAGGATGATCATGAAGATGAGGATGAGGATGAGGAGGGTGAGGATGAGGATGAGGAGGGTGATGATGAGGATGAGGAGGGTGAGGATGAGGATGAGGATGAGGAGGATGAGGAAGATGTGGAGGATGAGGATGAGGAGGATGAGGATGAGGATGAGGATGAGGAGGGTGATGATGAGGATGAGGAGGGTGAGGATGAGGATGAGGATAAGGAGGGTGAGGAAGATGAGGAGGATGAGGAGGGTGAGGAAGATGAGGAGGATGAGGAAGATGTGGAGGATGAGGATGATCATGAAGATGAGGATGAGGATGAGGAGGGTGAGGATGAGGATGAGGAGGGTGATGATGAGGATGAGGATGAGGAGGGTGATGATGAGGATGAGGATGATCATGAAGATGAGGATGAGGAGGATGAGGGTGAGGATGAGGATGAGGATGATCATGAAGATGAGGATGAGGAGGATGAGGGTGAGGATGAGGATGAGGAGGATGAGGATGAGGATGAGGATGAGGATGAGGAGGGTGATGATGAGGATGAGGATGAGGAGGGTGATGATGAGGATGAGGATGAGGAGGGTGATGATGAGGATGAGGAGGGTGAGGATGAGGATGAGGATAAGGAGGGTGAGGAAGATGAGGAGGATGAGGAGGGTGAGGAAGATGAGGAGGATGAGGAAGATGTGGAGGATGAGGATGATCATGAAGATGAGGATGAGGATGAGGAGGATGAGGGTGATGATGAGGATGAGGAGGGTGAGGATGAGGATGAGGATAAGGAGGGTGAGGAAGATGAGGAGGATGAGGAGGGTGAGGAAGATGAGGAGGATGAGGAAGATGTGGAGGATGAGGATGATCATGAAGATGAGGATGAGGATGAGGAGGATGAGGATGGGGAGGATGAGGAGGATGAGGAGGATGATACGATCTAAATATGAAACCGTTGAGGCTGTTTCACTGGACATTTTATTTCTTGTTTGGCGGGGTATACCAGTGGAAGGGAATTGTCTGTTGATCACTATTGAAGATATCAGATTACGGATATACCTGAAGTTTGTGTTTAACTCTTTTTTGCCAGTTCCCCTGTTTTGAAGTTGTCAATCCGAGCTGAAATAAAATTTGTTTTTATATAATTGTTATTCCCTAGCATCTAAACGATGTAAAATGTCAATTGTAAGATGAGTAGAGTGTATTGGAGATCTTTTGTTATCCGACTGGCTGCACCTCTTTCATTCCTGTCTCATTATCAGTATATTGGGTCTGAGTGTAAACTGCTGCATGGTATATCAGTGGACTAGTACAAACAAACAAACAAACAAACACACACACATACATACGCTTCGCTGTATAAGAGCGACTTTAAAAGCCATTTCACCTCACCTCACCTCCAAAGGCGCAAGGATAGGTCTTGTGTCAAAGCACAGGGAACAAATAAATCATTCTTCCCTTTTAAAAAATTGACAATAAATTTAAAAAAAAAGAAGTATCATATTTCCTAAATATTTCCTATTTCCTATTTCCTGAAATATTCCCATTAGTCAAACGTTTTATTATATACCAATAGAGACAACATATAAACACAATCATTAACAATTCAATCAATGACGTCATTAAACCCAATTCATCGCAATCTATAGCAATCCTCACGTGAAGATCCGGGTAGATAATAGGTCTTCAGCAACCCAAGCTTGCCGTAAAAGGCGACGATGCTTGTCGTAAGATGCGGCTAGCGGGATGGGCTCGCTGACTTGGTTGATGCATGACATCGTATCCCAATTGCGTGGGTCGATGCTCATTACATCCATCACTGGATTGTCTGGTCCAGACTTGATTATTTACAGACCGACGTCATATAGCTGAAACATTGCTGAGTGTGGCGTTAAACAACAAACAAAGCAATCCACAGTCGAAAATATTCTTGGTCCGGAAGTAATTCAGCTCTTGGATAATTTGAATTAGCTGTCACTCCTCACAATGCCATTTTAGAACGAGCGTCCATTTAATGTTCTGCAAAGCTTGTTTCCCTTCCAGTGCTTTCTGAAGCCCTGGGTGCCCAAAAACGTTTCCATAATCACACACGTTTTGTAACCGCTGTGAACAGATGCATTAAATCACAATTTTGTGATCTGTAAACAGAGATCCGTGCCAATGCATGGCTTTCACTAAATTGGTGAATTGGGTCTTTGTATGGAGCCTAGATATTGCTACAATTACATCTGCAAAGTCAGATATGGGCCTAATTCTCTTTTTCAAAAGCATCATTAACAATTCTCTTTTTCAGTAGTTTGAAACATGATAATTATTCTTTATCTGGGACAATTATTTTTTTGGGATAAAATTCCCCACCACAACCCGAATATCAAATGGTCGACCCGTCAATATATGATACGAAGGTAGGGAATTGATCAGTTGAGATTCAATGTATAGCCATCATAAATATAGTTTGCTTCTGTCATGTTCTACAGCCGTCTTGTAATGGGTAAATTGAATTACCTTCAGGCATGATGATGATGATGTAGACATGTTCGGTCGATTTTATTTTATATGTCTTCAACAAGACAAGCCACAACCATTACCGTCAGAGTCTAATAACATACTTGGTTGTATGTTTTTAACCATATGACACCCTACTTCCATATCTCATTTGAAACAACTATCGGTTTTATGCCAAAATTCATTAGTCATGCCCAATTGTCTACAGTTTTCATTTAACCCGAGTAAAGCAAAGTTAATCATTTAATGTCACACCAGTACGATATTCGCAACATGATAGACAGTTTGTGGGCGCCATACAAACAGGAAAAACGTGTACTGTGTCAATAACTGTTCCTTTTTATCTGTGTAAGTTCTATTTGAATCCTACCAAGTTTGTATTACTTTATTTTATTGAAAAAACAACATATTTATGCATTCATGATTCATCGAATCAAAGGAATCAAACCGAAAATAGATATACATTTAAAACTACTTAAAAACATACATTCATCCGAGAAATTTATTTCTATACAAAAGGATGAAAAAATATCTTAAACAAAAATGGTCACTTTTATTCTCAGCATTTGATTCTTAGCTCTCTGTTGACACATGCTTTGTTTGAGTCTGATTGTGTGTTGCATCCTTTTTGGTTTGAAATACGACAATGTTTGTTTCTAAACCTTTTAATCATTAAAGAGGGTATTGTGTCATTCTATACAATCCGAAATATGTTTTTGACGGAAGTCTGTATTACTCTACAACTCTGGGGTCAATAAAAAAAGAAGAAGGAAAGTTTGTATTTTGTCATCACTATACTCATGTAGCTATTATTGAACTTGTAATCTCTACTCAGGGGTAGGGGTGGCTAAATGGTTACAACTTTATCAAAGTGAAGACCCGGTTGCAAATATGTAAATATGTAAAACCTATTGTTGGCGTCCTTCGCTGTGTGGATTGTTCCTGAAAGTACACTTACTTAACAGCTTTATATGCCACTGGCATTATCAGTACGACAGTGTCAGCACCTGTATAAACAACGGATCTGATGAAGTATGTGCATAGTTTAATAATGACTACTTCATCCCCATCACTTTAACAGCCATGTAGACTTACACTCGTACGTGTACCATTGATCGACAGGTAACTCTGGAATCTATTTACACTTCAAATTAACTGAACGCCCCCAGCCAGATGTCATCAGGATCGATGATAAAATCTATTTCATATGCAGCATCAAAGTAAATGTGGTAATATGTATAGCCATTGGATTGAAAAGTTGTGCCAATTATTGAACGCCGAGAACTGACAGATCAAATTCCCATAACGTTATTATCTATTTATAACACATTTACTACTCTCGTAACAGTTAACTGGCGTTAACGCGTGCAACGCAATTTCAAGATCCAAATTGATATTTCAATTTGATATTTTGAAAACAAGATTACTGAATCAGGTTTGCTCCGGGTCCTTCTTGCAGTTACCCATTCCTTATTGGAATCTATTTGTGATGTTCGAAATTGATTATTCTCTCTTTTTTAAAATATGCATTCTCAGTCTTTTATAACTGAATAGTTTCCAGACATGTTTCACGAATAACAATAGTCAAATATACATGATCCTTTTCTATTCAGATCTGGCTCGTGAATCGCTATCACATGGCTTAAGCGGCAGCCTTATGGTTCGAACGGAATGAATACTGAATTATTTATGAATGAAATTCCCATAAACAAACCATGACATAAAGATAACTGCCACTGTATATTCCTTCTGTTACCCAAGTTCAAGACCTACCTCAGACAACGACATTACTAATACATGAACAGAGTTTAGATGAGGTTTGCATCTCTTTCTCCAAAGCGTTCCGATTTCCTTGAATATGAGAATAAAAGTATAAAACTCTCCTTAGGAGATCTTCTAACAACACAAACTTGTCCAAGATGGCTCCAGTGATTTGTACACCCGTCAATGAGGCGTGTGGATTTAATCAAATAGCTGGGGAAAGTGACAGGGCTAGTCGACCACATAGTGGCGGGCACGGGATCAATAGTCTGTGGTACGTACGTAACTCCTCTTGCTGACTCACTTTCAATACAGCACCCGCCTCTAGCGCCACACGCACTCCCTCACTCCGTGCTACATAATTGTACACCTTGGAGGGACTCACTACGGCCACGGGACGCCGTTGGCAGGTAACATGACTTGCAGCTACGTCGGGGACGACGCCAACTATTGTGAGAAGACACCGCGGCAGGGCTAGAAATATCTTCTGTAGCGTCTGCATTTGCGTTGTTCCCTCGGGATAAAACACAAAAGATTACTGATAGTTCGAAACTTAACGATCTGAGGGATGTTCGTTGTGATGCGTGATTAACATATAGCCTTCAGCACGGTTCTCCGGAGAATCATAGTCGTATCGTTCACCACGGTGCTATGACACAGTACACACCTGCTTCGTTATATTCTGTACTGTGAAGGATGCAATTGTTGGCGGTGATTTGGATAAGGTGGTGCATGACAATTAAGGATTAAATGACAGTCTGGTTTGTCGACTACCCTTCTTTCATTGTGTGTTTCCTTGGATCCCAAAACAAGACCGGAGGGACAGGACCTTGTCCTACTTTACAACACGACAGTCTCACAGCATCTGTAGGTAGGTAGTTCTTTTCAAAGCGGATCGATTAATAAGGTTTCGATTTCTCCGCCAGGCTTACATCAGTTCATAACAACTTCTACGTCGCAATATGTCACATATGATTGAATTTGTGTAACAATCAGTGTATGGTGATGGAAAGATCGAAATCTTTCCGCTTCCAGAAAACTGTACATTGTTAATGCAACACAAAACTCTTAGAGCTTCGAACGTATGCATGAATAAATATTTGAATAATTTATAACTTTTCCAACTAGTTTTGCATATTTCCTGCAAAAGTCAATTACACCCTTACACTGTAGCAGATGTCGTTAACACTTGTGGTATTTTCGTTCAAATTAATCTTTTTGTAAACCCGTTAGTGAGTGAGTGAGTGAGTGAGTGAGTGAGTGCTGTGGGTTTAACGCCGCTTTGAACAGTATTCCAGTTATATCACGGCATGTCAGCTTAATGTGGGAAGAGAGTCCGAGGTGTTGCAGTTGACAGACGTTTACTATTTTGGTGAACCCACGAGCACGGGTATGGTGCTGACAAACCTAGAAATTTAATCGGGGCGAACCGGGATTCGACCCCACAGTCATGGTTTCTGGTGTGCCCAAGGGACGCAACTCTGCACAGCAAATTGCGGCGCCTTGGACGACTGGGCCGCCCGTGCCCCCGGTGATAACATAACGTCTTGTGCATGATTTAGGGTGTGGATTCGACGCATTATAGATATGCACGTTAATATTTTCCTTAGTTGCTCAATGTTATGTCAAAACAAATGGGTTGATGAACACACAATGCCATTTAGAAAGTGGTCAAATGTAACAATGTTATATTTGGGATAACACTTTCGTCGTAATCGGGGCGAACCGGGATTCGACCCCACAGTCATGGTTTCTGGTGTGCCCAAGGGACGCAACTCTGCACAGCAAATTGCGGCGCCTTGGACCACTTGGCAACCCGTGCCCCTGTAAACCTGTTAAATAATGTAGGCAATTTTATGCCAGTAAGTTGTATAGAATTACTTCACGCATTGGAAGCATTCCAAGAACACATACAGATGTCTTTTAGACATTTATAACAGTATATAACAGTGGTGGCACCGAATTTCAATAATAAGGATCTTGCTATTTATGCAAATTATTAGTGAGTGAGTGAGCGAGTGAGTATGGTTTTACGCCGCTTTTAGCAATATTCCAACAATATCACGGCGGGGGACACCAGAAATGGGCTTCACACATTGTACCCATGTCGGGAATCGAACCCGGGTCTTCGGCGTGACGAGCGAACGCTTTAACCACTAGGCTACCCGACCGCCGCTGCAAATTATTAACATATGCAAGATAATATTACATGATTTTGTCATGTGAGTATACAAAGGCTTTGGTCCAACAGTATTAATGTATGCATGTCTAAATATTCTTCGGACATCTGGTATCACTGTTTGATAGTTATTCATAAACGCATGCTCATGATAAAGTCGGAATCGTACACTCGAGTCTGCTTTTGGCAGAGATTTCTTATGAATATGGAAAGAGTTGTGTCGCTTTTATCTACTTGATGTATGTGGAGAGAACAACCATACTGAATTGTTAGGTAGGCATTACTTAGAAGTTGACGGATGACAAAGTAGACACAATTTATGGGTAGCAACTTCTTATTTACTGTAAAGGCGGCGTTTCGGTATAGATCCAGTCTTGCGTGACAACAGTACAAGGATCTTTACCGAAACGTCGGCTTTATAGTAAGTAAGAAGTTTTTGTTTATAAATTGTGTCTACTTTGTCACAACCACACGGTTGCAACTGCACATATAGACGCATGACAACAAAGACTAAAGGATATAAGCGGATTTAAACGTAATTTCCATGGGCACCTGCCAACCAACGCTGCTGGACTCCATTTGTTAGTGACGTCAAGGTTTGAAACTATAGTGAGGGCATTCCGTTCTCTATTTTCATGAAACTCCGAGGGGAAATTTGATTGTTTTGCCTTAAAGGGAAACTCGGTCCGGCCATGTTGGCAGTCCAAGCAAATTTAATTGTTCAGCCTCAAAGCGAAACTGGGTTCCGGCCATGTTGGCAGTCCAAGCAAATTTGATTGTTCAGCCTCAAAGCGAAACTGGGTTCCGCCATGTTGGCAGTCCATGCAAATTTGATTGTTCAGCCTCAAAGCGAAACTTGGTTCCGGCCATGTTGGCAGTCCAAGCAAATTTGATTGTTCAGCCTCAAAGCGAAACTGGGTTCCGCCATGTTGGCAGTCCATGCAAATTTGATTGTTCAGCCTCAAAGCGAAACTTGGTTCCGGCCATGTTGGCAGTCCAAGCAAATTTGATTGTTCAGCCTCAAAGTGAAACTGGGTTCCGGCCATGTTGGCAGTCCATGCAAATTTAATTGTTGAGCCTCAAAGCGAAACTGGGTTCCGCCGTGTTGGCAGTCCAAGCAAATTTGACTGTTCAGCCTCAAAGCGAAACTGGGTTCCGGCCATGTTGGCAGTCCAAGCAAATTTGATTGTTCAGCCTCAAAGCGAAACTGGGTTCCGGCCATGTTGGCAGTCCAAGCAAATTTGATTGTTCAGCCTCAAAGCGAAACTGGGTTCCGGCCATGTTTGCAGTCCAAGCAAATTTAATTGTTCAGCCTCAAAGCGAAACTGGGTTCCGCCGTGTTGGCAGTCCAAGCAAATTTGATTGTTGAGCCTCAAAGCGAAACTGGGTTCCGCCATGTTGGCAGTCGAAACAAATTTTATTCAAGTTGTTCAAAGCCCTCTTATGTGCTATATTTTTATATTTTTTATATTATATATATAGCAATCTATAGGTTAATAGTTATTACATTTATACAATATTAAACGTCAGCGCCACGGAATAACCTTCTCGGGTATCTGGCTAGACGATTTCGTTTGGCGTAAAAAGCAAAATAGCGGTAACAATTTTATAAAAAAATGGATCACTGAAAATCAGTGATGACACCAAATGTCTCAGTGTCTCAATTACAAAAGGCAAAATATAAATGGACATCTGGTAGATAGTGTAGTACCCTTTTGAGCTCAGTATTGTTAGCGATACTATCAGTGAATGAATTAATAATTTCACAAGAACCAACATGTTCTTCTGAACAATGAACTCTCCCTTCGGGTTACTTGTGTGTCGATGGCAAGTGGTTCTGATGCATGTTACATATTCCAAATCCCAATGCAAACCCTACGTTGCAATAAATATTGACATGCCAAATGGAACTGAAACAGGTCATTGATTTTTTCTATTTGTGTATCAACCCAGAGTCCTTGAAAATGTTTTCTTCACGGTACAAGTGCGTCCATGTCAATGTATGCATACTGTAGTTTACAAAATGTGTATATTATGAAAAAAGCTTTTTCTCAATGTCTGCCTGAAAAAGTGCAGTGACAGCTCAAATTGTAGAAATAAGTAAACGTCAGAGAATAATCAGTATCGATTATCTGCCGAAACAGATTCCATTGGGCGCAAAGGACAAATATTTTGGTGATGGTATGAAAGGATCACTGAACATCAGAAAGAACACCAGGTGTTTGTGCTTCCGATGCTTGTTACATATTCGAAATCCCAATCGGCAGAAACAAACTTCAGTTGCAGTAAATACTGACATGCCAAATGCTACTGAAGCAGGTCATTGTTTCTTTTTCTATTTGTGGATCAACTCACAGTCCTTATTGTTTTCGCCACGGGAAAGTTGTTCCATTTGGCGCAAAAGGTAAAATTAGTGGTTACAATTATATGAATCACTGAAAATCAGTGATGACACCAAGTTTTTGCGGAAAAGGAAAACATTTCTGCTCTACCGATACCAATACCTCACTGTGCTGGCTCATAAAATGTACCTTGCACCAGGTGCTTTTCGTAACACGTGGCAAAATGAGCATGGTTCGAATTTTCGCTTCCTGTCCAATCGTGTGTCACTCCATCGCGGCATGAGTTTCAACAAAATCAGTAAATACCATTGAGTGTATCACTGGATTGTCGGATGCAACATTGTCTTGGTTGTTTAAAGGGCGCGTCCCATGGCAGGAGTACTGCTTTGCGGCGTCAGGCACAAAACAAACATTTACTTTTTATGCAAATTGTGTGGATGGCGGCCGCCCTACCAATCTGATATTGGAAATGATTGATCCAGTGTTAACATGAATGATTCTGGACGGCGTAAATAATTCAAATCAATCATGTGAAGTGTGTGTGATTGTGTGAGTGTGTGTGTGTGTGTGTGTGTGTGTGTGTGTGTGTGTGTGTGTGTGTGTGTGTGTGTGTGTGTGTGTGTGTGTGTGTGTGTGTGTGCTTGCGTTGTTTAAGATTGCACATGGGTATCGATCATTTGATTGTTTGGTTTCTTAACAGGCCGCTGTCGCATGTGCGGCGTCAGGCAATAAATTCTTATTTTTTATGCAAATTGTGTGGTAGCGGCTGCCCTACCGGTACATGCTCAGCCTTTTTAGCGAACACCTGGTGTCACTGATTTTCAGTGGTCCATTCATATAATTTCCCCAGCTTTTTAGCTCTTTATGCCAAATGGAATCTGTTTTGGCGGACGATGTTATTCATTTGTATTGACGGTTTATATTCATACATATGTGCTTATATCATGATACGCTGCATACACTGAGGTCTGATTGAGTGAGGAAGTCATGTGGATATATAAGCATGAAATACTGATACTCACAGCTCGTGACGAATTCGCTGCGAATGACGCATTCGTCTGTCTTAGAACAAGGACAACTATCAATATTACAATTAGACTCACTATCTGAGACAGATGAATTAATCATGAACTACTTCGTCATGAATTACATCGTCATGGACTACACCGTGTCACGTTACTCACTGAAGGTGAACAGACATGCAGCACGGAGACGCGATGACGCTGTCGACGGCCAGAGGCATCGGAACTATTAGTGAACTATATGTTCGCTTGCTACACAGAGGATCTGGGTTCGATTCTCTAACTTATTCATATTCACAATACATATACCCATTCTTTGCCTCATATC